TGTATTTTGTTAAGTCTTGTATAGACTTTGTATAGAATCTGTTAAGTTATAGTCATTATACTATAGTTGAACAGCTTCTGTTATCACATTGGTTAAAGGAAAAACTACAGGTTAACAGTACTCTATCCTTAACTCTAATCAATATACATCTAAAATATTATGTCTGCAGTTCTACAAAATTTTATTGTTTACAGAAACTTAACCAATAATGAACTAATATTTGTTGCAATATGACATTATTATTGTTTATCATAGAAGCTGTCCTCTCTATTTGAATGAACAAGCTTCCATGGCCAACAAATCATCAGTTTAACTCTGCAATACAGTATATAATATGAATAGCTGAACAAGCCATACTGGGTCACATAAGCAGACTTCTCTGAATATTATAGGTTTTTTTTTTTTTTTGAGAAAATGGTGAGAAATTGCTAGACACAAAGTCAAGTAAAAGAATTCAAGAATAGGAAAACAATTAGATTATTAGATTACTCAAAAATATATCTTGTAATAGGCATGTTCAGTAACCCTTGTTATATGAAAAATTCAGTAACTTACAATAATGTATTATCTTGTAACTTTATTTACAATCAGATCATTATTATTGTACATTATATAAGCTGTTCCTCCATCTGAATGAACAAGCTTCTATGACCAACAAATCATTAGTTTAACTTTGCAATACAGTATAAGATTATTAATGAGGATCATTTAAAAAAGACAAGTAAAGAACAGGCATCATGAGCACAACAATACAAAAAAGCTAGTGAAACAATACTGTTTTTATTTGTTAAATAAAGATTCTATCAAACTAATTTTTTATGCTATTTCTTTTTTTTTTTTTTTTTTGAAACCTCAGTCTCTTCTAGGTGTTGGCCATTTTATTATTTTTTTTTTTCTAAAAACCAATTTAACTGAAGGTTCAGTTTTTGCTATAGATACTGTTCTCAGGTATAACATAATAGCTTTTGAATCCCAACCTTTGATTGCTCAGATTTGTATAAGACTTACTCTTGTAATCATTGTCACTGTTGCCTCACAAATCCTTAATAAGTGGCCTGTAAATTTTCTTTCTAAACCTGCATACTCAGCAAAACATTTTACTATTGAATCTATAGTTGAGAATGAGAGTTTCTTCTTTTGTTTGGATAAGAATATGAAAGTATTCTTACTCATTATTAAATATATCTTCAAATATTAGTTTAACAGTTTGACTAGACAATATTTTGACATGTGCTTTCTATCAGAATAAACCTTTTATTTCTAAACTGATCCATTTTTGACTTGCAAATTCTAACCTACAAAATTCCCTCATTGTCTCACTTTATATCCCTCAATGCCAAGTTACTTGGTTTTCTCAGTTTTCACATAGTTCTTAGTCTTAGAGCAACCAGAGTCACATCCTAACTGTGCATAGTGCTGTTTTCCAATGTAGAGATGCATTCACATAGTGTTTTAAGGCTCCAACAGGTACTGAATTACATGGCCAGTCTGGTGTTTTATTTTTTGTTGCTTTCCTTTTTATTGCTCTCAGGACCTTCGAGATAGATAATGACTTCCTAAAGTTTTTCTTTCTTTCAAACCAAAGGTTGTTTCCAATGACCTGTACGATTTAAGAAGTCTAAAATATCAGATTTAATATGTCCAATTATATAATAAATACCAAAATGCTATCTTCTAATGGTTCTTCTTCATTTACCTTGAACCTACTACAAAATTTTTTGTACAGATTTCAATATTTCTCTAATTTTACTTTGTAGAAGGGTAAGATAGAATTCTTTGCCAATTTTCTTGCTTTCTGTAACAGCTTTTCTATGAGTAAATATGTATTGCCAAAAATTTTTACTCTTGGTTTCTCCAGGATTTTACAAATCCTAATGGGCTCAGGGCAAATGTAATCTTTAGTTTTGGAAGTGCTATTGCTTTCCAATTCAGTTTCAGAAGTAGAAGCCACTATTTGGCTAAAGTCCAAATAGAAATCATCACTGTTACTTTTGGCTTGCAGCTTTTCATATAACAGAGTACTTTTTGAGCTAGATGAAGTGATGAGTACATATAATTTACCTTATTCTTTCATCTTTAAGTAAAGCAATTTACAGACTTCATATCTGGGCAAAAATAGTAACTGTTGAATCTCTGTAACCTCATATTGATATAGGAAGCCATTTTGTTTATTGAATGTAGTCTGAATGTTTCCTCTATTAGCTGGAACACCTCTATTTCAATGAACCAATCTGATAAGTTAAATGCTTTAGTCTAATAATCTGCTGGGTTTTCTAGTGATGGTATCTACTTCATTTTATAAACCCAAATGTCTTTTTTTAAACAAACTTGCCACAAGCTTCTGTATACCTTCTTCTGCCACTAGCTCTTTTCCTTTCTATTTCATTGTTGCTAATACTATATGGCTGTCTATAAATATTAGAACTCAGAACACTTTAACAAGCTTGTGAAGCTTTGAAGCCCAAGCAAGACTGCTTTTACCTTCAATTTTACTATTTGTCAAAGATTTAACTGTTCTGTTCAATTTCTAAAAACTGTTAAATCTTCTAATTTGGCATACCAACCTGTTGTTTAGGCATCTACAAATAAACTTCTTATTAATAATAAGCTCCAAGCTAGATGGCTGTTGTATTTTTCCAAATTTTCTAGCAGCCACTGTAAGTTCATTTTTGCCTAGTCTGATAGCCAGACCTTTTTGTCCTACCTCCAACTTTGTTTGTTTGCTAAGTCTATAAGGAAATAGAACTCTAAACACTTCACCTTTGCTGAGGCAAAAGCTCTTGCTAAGCTTTGCATCTTGTCTGTAATGCTTGCTAGTTTTCTGGCTGTTGTCTAATTTACTCTTGATAGGGTTTTCAAACCTGCTTTTGTCTTTTTTAACTTTTGTTCTAGCACTATTATTTGTGCCTTTTTAGTATCTACTATCAACCTATAGAACTTTATCCTTTTTGATGATATTAGACTGTTCTTGTCTTATGCTAAAATGAAGCTACAATTTTGCAGATCTGATAAAACAACCTTGTTCTAAATCCTTTCTAATATTATTTCTAAAGGATGCACAATTCATATATCATCTACATAAGAGCCTAAGGCTATACTTATTATCCTCCAATGTACAACTAAAGCTTATATTATATTTAAAAATATTCTGAAGCCTAGGAAAAGCTGAATAGCAATACTCAATACTGGTACCAGTTGTTAACTATATGAAACCCTAGGAAGCATCAGGCCTCCTTGTCAATCAGTACATAGTAATACATATCCCTTAAATCCAGAGTTATCATTGACCAACCTTTTTCTACAAACCTTAATAAGCTCTTCAAATCCTCAAAACAGAAAGACTTTTCTGGCAAATGTCTGTTTAGTCTTCTCAAGTTTATTATTAATTAAAAATGTTTTGAACCTGCCTTTGAAACTAAAAAATTGGAAATATCTTCAACAGCATTTTCAGACAAAACTCTGCTATACCTAGTTTTACCATTGCCCCAGTTCTTTTAAATAAAGGACTTCCTTTTCTAATTACATTTTCTGGTTCTGTGTTAAGTCATATAACCTTGGGATTTTGCTTTAGATCAGGCTTCATACATCTCTTAAAAACAATGATACAAAGTTTTTTAATCATCAACCTACTACCAGTCAAGACTTTATCCTTTTTATCCAATATTTTACTGCTGATAATTCATGAATTTTTCCAATTACTTCTCTGCTTCAGTTCACATTGTTTATTACTCTCTTTTTACTGTTTTTTGTTTTCTTTCAAGTGTAGTCATCCCTATGCATTATTTCCCTTGTTCAGAAAAAATTCATTTTCAGGTGGGCTTCTTTCTTCAGACTTCAATGCACATACTTTACTGTATAACTAGTTTCTTTACAATAATAACAAATAAACTGTTTTAATAATTTATTAAATGAATTTTGGTAAGTTGGAACTTGGATTATAAAAAACTGCTTGATTTTGGTACTCTTGAAAGAATGAGGCATACTGAAAATATGGTTGAAGTGGTGAATAGGATCATAGTGAAAGTTTTTTGATCCAAAGCCCTAAAATTTATTCTTTTTGTCTTGTCTAGTTTTATAATGATATGACCCTATTTGACCTTTATGTGGTTTTGCTTGTTTCTGTACTTCGATTAACAAAATTTTAAATTCATTACTTTCACTAGAAGTCAGTTTTAGGATTTTTGCTATGACACTCCAATCTTCTTCTTCTGCTACTCTTAAGACAAAGACTCTTGATCTTAATGCTTCTTGTGCTATCAAGACTTTTTTCTTTGAGTTTTTCTGAATTGCTTTTTGAAGTAATGTGCCAGCATCACAGATTGCATTATACTTATGCTAGTCTTGAGGTTTCTTAAATTTTTTATTTGAAAAGTGCACTTCTGCTGAACTAAACCTATTTAGCTGCACTAACTATTGCTGCAAGCTCTTGTTCAAAACTCATAACAAAGATTTGTCCAACTTTTCTTCAATCTTTTTCTCTAGTTTATTCTCTATATATGATAGAAATGCATAATTTTGTCTCTTTAAACCTTCCTGTGTAGAACTTTCATTCCTTTTCTCATGACATTTAGTTCAGATTTGTTTGACTAATTTATTCTTAAATGTGTCTTGAGGTTTAAAGTTCTTTTCAGATTCTTTTCAATAAAATTTCAGGTAGTTTATTAAATTTGTTTTCATGTTATCTTAAGAAACATTGCATTTCAGGCACATTGCTCTTAAGTTAGTTATTTATAGATGATTCCAATCAATTACTAAATTTGTCTCCACTTGAGAGAGAGTTGCTTCACTGTCAAGATCCATATTTGTTTGTTGTGCTTCCTTTGTTATCATTGTTTTTTATTTTTTTTGTATTTCAGAATGAGCTGCCTTTACTATAATATCACTATGTCAGATGGGTAACATAAATAAATTTAGAATAGCATGTTTAAAATATTATGTAAGTTCTTTTGAAACTATTATTAATTTCTTTGTTAAACTCTAAAAAACTAGTTTGTTTGTGTAAGTATGCTAGACACAAAGTTGAGCAGAAGATTCAAGAATGGAAAAACAATTAGATTGTCAGTTACTCAAAAATATATCTTGTTATAGACATGTGCAGTAACTTTTGTCTCATGAAAAGTCTAATAACTCACAATATGTACCATCTTGTAACTTTGTTCACAAGCAGATCATGATTAGGAAAAAAAATTAACTACTTTTCAGAAAACTACTAAAGAAATCATTCTTAATGCTCTAATTAAAACTTTCTCTTAACTTTTTTTTACTATATAGCCTATTGATACCTAATTATATATTAAAATTCTAGGGTTTTATAATTTGGTATACCTTTATTATGGTGCATCCTGGTAACATTATTTGAATCAATTTCATAAAATGATTTTTTAATATAAACTTTATATTTATTATTAATAAAAAATCTTTACATACTTGAAATTGTTATATAAAACAAAAATTTTAATTATTATACAACAAGCAAATTTGATTTAATTTTAACACTTAACTAATTCTATTAACTATCTAACTAATTTTTTTTTTTGCTTTTGCTCTAATCCTAACTAATTACTGATTACAAAAATTTAACAATATGAAATTTTATAACAATGACATTTAAAGTAAAATATTAACAAAAATGTATTTTCAATAATGATAAAATTGTTATCAAACAATATAAAATCAATACCAATAATGTATTTAACTTTGAAAAGAAAATTAAAATATATGTATAATAACAAAAATAATATCAATAACATTTAAAAAAATATTTAGTAATAAAATTTAAGTCAAAAATAATGTAAAACCTATATATATAATATTAGTATTAAAATAAATATAAAATCATTTGATAATGCATTAAAATACTAAAAAAAAAGATATACATTAACAAAAAAATACTAAAAATATTTAAAACATATTAAATAACAAAATTAAATATAAAAATAATTTAAAAAATGATAAAATTATCTATAATATTAGTATTAAAACAAATAATACAAAATTAATACAAACAAAATATAATAACAAAAAAAGCTCTTTGAAATATTAGAAATAAATTATATAATAAAATATAATTTAAAAATAATTTAAATAATAATAAAATTTAATCATAATCTTATTACCTTAGAAATTTCCATCATAATTAACAAACCAAAACTCTAAAAACAACAAAAAAGAAAGATCTTTTTCTAAAAAAACTGCTCTAATACTTCTCTTGAAAACTATGTTACTCAAACAACACAAAATCTTCAACAACTGCTTGCTAAACTTTCTACAATCTTTAACCAAAACCAACTCAACAAAATCTAGAACCAAATTCACAAAGGCCTAATTAAAGCCATCTCTAAATATATTTTTTTTAAAAAAGTAAATACTAGTAAAGGTATTAAAGAAACCAATCCTTTTAAACATCCTCAACTCTATTATCACTATAAAGAATTTCTTTTTCTCAAAAATCATATTAATTTATCTAATTTTAATATATTACTTCAAAACTACTTGTCTAAATAACCTGATAATACAATTCAAAACCTATCACCTACTCTTTCTCATCTTCTAAATGAACTTTATCTTACCAAAACTGCTCTTATTTTTTTTTATTTTTTTATTTTTTTTGAAGTTAACATGAGGTTTTGCTTATATCTTTATTAATTTGTTAAAGATGCCTCTAGAGGCTTTTCTAGATATAAATTACAAAATCTATTCCAATTACAAATTTGTTACAAAAGTAAAGCTCAGATATAAAGAAAAACTAACTGTTATCTATCTAACTTATCTGCAACCTAAACCTACTAGAGTGATTAAAACTTATCTAGATTTGATAGTATAAAATATTGTTTGTAGGGTAACTGTAAAGTATTTAATGGTTAAGCTATAAATTAATTTTATATAAAGCATAACCAAGTGGTGGACAAGTATTTGGATCAATGTGTTTTAAGCTTAATAGTCTACATAGATTGCAAGTTGTACTATGTAATTGATGCCTGTTAACATCATGTATATCATTGTGATTAATTTATATAAATCTTCTTTATTGATTTTTGATATATTGTAGAATGTTGTTATCCTTTTCCATTGTGCCAGTTTTGTACAATATGGTTTTCATATTTGTTCATAAACTTTTTGAGACAGCTTATGTAGAAGTTTTGTAGTAATATTTTTTGCTTCTGTTTGTGATTAAGTAAATAGTCTAATTGATGAAATAAGGCTAATAGGCCATATCTTTGTAATGTTGTATAAATATTAGTTTGTTGCAGAATTATGTTACTAAAAGAAAAGCTATTATGTTGTAAAAGTATTTCTTGTAGTTTATTAATTTGAGTGCTAGTAATATCAGTAATATGAGTAATTGTTTCTGTTATTGTTTCTTGAATAAGGTTGGTAAGAAGTATAGATTTTGGATAAAGAATTCAATATAGTGAATGTTCTGATATATAACATGTAATACAGCTATTGCTAGTTATTACTTCTGGGTATAAGTTGTGAAGATAGAAAAGAGTAGGTAGTATGTTAAGTTGTAGTTTGATTTTAAAGAATTTACTATTACTAAATGTAAAGTTTGTATATGAGCTAGTTCTGTTAATATTATTATTTAGGTATAGTTAGGTTGCTTTCTAGTTAATTTGTGAAGATAGAAGAATAATGTTGTTCATCTGATTTTGAGATAACCACATAGCTATTATGTGTACATTGTAGATATTTTTAATTGCTTGTTGGATAGGTTGTTCAAGAGTATATTGGTTATATTGTATAATATATAAAGTATTATAAATGTTGTTGTATCATATATCTAGAAAATTTGTTGAGTTGTGGTTTGATGTGAGCTTATCTGCTTTATTATTGAATATGTTGTCTTTATGAGCTGGTACTTTGTGAAGTGTGATGTCATGTCTGTATAATTTAATTAAGTTGATAATTGTATACTATATTGGCCAATAGTTATAAGAATATTGTTTATGTAGTGGTATTATGTTTTAGTAATTTTGTTAAATTTAAAAATTACAGATTTTGAGTCAGTATAGATTTGAATAATGCTATTTTAAGAATATGTGCATATAGCTGATAGAATAGCTACTAGCTTAGCTTTGTATAATGATGGCCAGAATTTAATTCAAGAAAAGTAAGTTTTAATAATAGTATTGTTATGTAATTGTATTTATTCAATATTTATTGAACATCTATTAGTAATAATATTGGTAACAGATCCATCAGTATAAAAAGTAAAGTTGGTACATTGGATATTTTGGTTTGCAATTTGTTGTAATTTGATAGAAAATGAATTGGTATAAAAAATAAGAGAAATTGGATCTTGTAATAAGGTAATAAATGTGAGTATAGGAATTCTAATAGGGTTGCATAATGCAATTGAGTATACAAGATCTGTATAATTTGCATTAAGCTTAAGTCTGTTTGTAGGATTTTGTTGTTTTTTTTCTAAAAATTTTGTAGAAAGAGTAGCAGAAGTGTCAAATGTATAGTGGTTTGATATTCTGTTAGAGTTATGTGAGCATCTTATATATGATATACAATTAACTGATAAGAGTGAATATAGGTTTGTGTTGGGTGCATTTGCTTTGATTGTCTAGTGTATAATAGATATAGTGTTGTTGTTTTGGTTATATTTGTGTGCCTTTTCTATTATTAATTGTTTATTATTGTAATCAACAGTAATAAGCCAAGGTTTTGATTTTGAATTGTAATATTTAGTTGTAAAAGATAAGCAATTAGTTTGTGAAAGACTTAGATTAGAGTTAAGTTTTTTAGTAAGAGAATGTGTAATAATTTTGTCTTCTAATACTGTAAACCATTTTGGTTTATGTCCTGTGAAAATTTGTTCAAGTCTTGGTGAAATGTGTTTCTAATCTAAAAGTGTAAAGTTATCAGATGAGGTTAATTGTTTAAAGTAAAGAATATGTTTAGTTCATAATTGTTTTTTGAAGTTGTTATAGTCTTTATGTATTTTAAAGATGTTTTCAATTGGTGTATATGGATATTGTAATATATGTAGGAGTATTGTATGTGCAAAAATAGTAAATTGTAGATGTCATAATAATAGTATTATTTAATATGTTGTTGTATTTTTATTTGGACCATTTATTAGTAGATATAGTGTAAGATATTAGTAGTAAACTACAAGTTATTTTGTAATTATTGTAATCAGATATATGTGCTAGTTTCAAGTAAATCTATTGTGTTTAATTGAATTAGGAAGTTGGTAATATAATGTTGTAACTAGATATCCATATGTTTTTGATATTGTATATATTGTGGTTCAGAATAGTACTAGTTAGAGTAGTTAGTGCAAGTTTGGATTTGTGTTTGGCAGTAGTAAGATATCTAGATAAAATTTTGTTACATATGTGTTAAGAGAGTACTATATTATGTATATAATATTCAATAATAGAAATGATGACATTATTGATTATATAGAAAACTTGTTTGTCTGTTATTTGTTTGATTTGAACTATATTTGCTAAACCAAATGTTTCTTGTAGAATAAGTTTAATTATAATAGCTTGTTTGTTAGTTGCAATATACCAGCAACCAAGAAATTTAAAGGTGTATTGAGTAATTGAATTGTAATAGTTGAGTTTAGGAAAGTGAAAGTAGATGTATGTTTTGTGTTAAATATTAGACTGGATTTTTAAGAATTTACTTTAATGTTTGTCATTTGGTAAAATGTAGATGTCACATTAATGATATTTTGTAGTTGCTATTGAGATTCTGTTAATCATAATGTATCATTCATATATGCTAATACAGAAGTATTTATATTAGTTATTTGGTACTTTGCAGAAAATAAAGAAGTTGGATATATAATCATTGATGTATATCCT